GAGTAGGAGTAAGCAAGACTGGAGACAAAGGAGACCCCTAACCTGAACTATCGTGCACACTAAAGCATATACACCAGGAATGAGATGGAATGAAATGGACAGATTCAAGAGATCTATGGGCATGATGATTAGTTGGATATGAAAACTCAGAAAAGGAAAAGATGATTTAAATATCAGGTCCAAGTTTTCTGTCTTTGGTCCCTGGTGTACTATTCAGTGAGACAGTCAACAATGAAAGATGCACAGATTAGAGGAAGAGATGATGACTTTAGTGTTGGATGTATTGGGTTGAGGTACAGCAGGATCTACAGTTCTGGTCCTCAGGAAAAAGGCCAGGGCTTCGGAGAGAAAGTGGAAGTCACCTGTGTGGTGACTGAAGTCATAGAGGCTCACAGTGTGACTTAGAGTCTGTTGAGTGAGAAGAGAATAGGGTCTGAGAAGGAATCTGAAAAACACAAATATATTAGAAACAAGAAGAGAAAAACCAGTTTTTATAAAAGAGAATGAGAGGCATAAGAAAGAAAAAGAAAACCAGGAATAAATGAGACCAAAAGGAAAGAATACTCCAAGAAAGAGAAAGTGATCAAATGCCTAAATAAGTGATCAAATGCCTAAATAACACAAGTATTAAAAGGACTGAAAATTGTTCATGAGATTAAGCAACACAAAGGTATTTGGTGATCTTGCTAAAAATAAATTAATTAATTTTAAAAAGATGGAAAGGACACAAGCCAGATTGTAGTAGGTAGAGAAATGAGAGAAAAGAAAGTAGAAATAGTGAATGTCACTAAATTATTTAAGAGGTTTGCCCAGGAAGGACAGAATACAGGAAAGGGGACCTAGTATCAAAGGCAGGAATTTTTAAATATTGAAGAAACTTGAGCTTCCTAAAATGCTAATAAATAGACTTTGTAGGCAAGGAGCTGCTGACAATTTGAGAAAGGTAGAAACAACTAAGAAAAAATTTCTGAAAAGTTATCATCTATGAACCCTGTAATTGATTTGCCTTGGGCAGCTTGAAAAACTTTTCCATTGTAATGGGAAGGAATGAGAAAAGGATGAATCTACATTTTGGCAAGTTTGTTGGTTCCCTCTGAGAATGGGAAGGCAATGCAATATAGGGAGAACAATTGAGTAGAGAGAGAAAAAAAGGATTAGAAAACATTGTGAAAAAGCTACATGGGCAAACAGTTTTATACAGCATTGAGTAATCAGATTTGGAGGCTATGAGCTTATAGTAGCATCTTTTTTTTTTCTTTTCCTCTTCCCCCTTTTCTTTTTTGCTTCCTTTCTTTCTCTCTCTCTCTTTCTTTCTTATTTTTTTGATGTAGTGTTCCATGATTCATTGTTTGCATATAACACCCAGGGCTCCATGCAGAACGTGCCCTCTTTAATACCCATCACCAGGCTAACCCATCCTCCCACCCCCCTCCCCTCTAGAACCCTCAGTTTGTTTCTCAGAGTCCATAGTCTCTCATGGTTCGTCTCCTCCTCCAATTTCCCCCCCTTCATTTTTCCCTTCCTACTATCTTTTTTTTTTTTTAACATATAATGTATTATTTGTTTCAGGGGTACAGGTCTGTGATTCAACAGTCTTACACAACTCACAGCGCTCACCATTGCACATACCCTCCCCAATGTCTATCACCCAGCCGCCCCATCCCTCCCACCCCCCACCACTCCAGCAACCCTCACTTTGTTTGAGATTAAGAATTCCTCATATCAATGAGATCATATGATACATGTCTTTCTCTGATTGACTTATTTTGCTTAGCATAGTAGCATCTTTTATAGACAGATTAAATTTTTATCTAGCAGCTCTTGGAAGCCCAGAATAGCCTAGAGGAGATTATCAGTTGGATGAATCTGAAATTGGGTTTTGCCTGGTGGGACTGATGGGACATCAGAAGGAAAACAGGGCAAGAAAGTTACGTATCTTGAGCAGATGCTGTACGACATCCTGGAATACGGACTATAATAGAGCAGGAAGTATGAAAGGAAAGGGGATGGGACATGGAAGAGGATGATAGATAAGGAGAAAACAGAGGAGCCAAAGAATTGGAAGTATCAAAAAGGTTGAAAAAGAGGTATAGTAATAGAGGTGGAAGGGTTGAAAATGGTAGATAGAGAGTAGGTGACTTGACTTTACAATATTAACAGTAAACTTTACCAATGTACATTTTGGGTGCAAGTGACTATGGTGGGAGTGGAGGTGGCCAAGTCATCAGAATTGATATCAGTAAAGTGAGATATTAGAGTGTTGAGTGGATAGCCCTTGTGAGCACTGAACTAAACTGGGGTGATGGCAGAACTAGAGATGAAGGGGAAATCTGAGGCCCAGATGCCTGGTGTCCAGTGAATGAGAAAGACTGAAGAAAAAGTTGGTAGGTGACAACAAGGAGGAGTTATGTAAATGTGTGCCTATCAGTTTGGTCAGTGTAAGTGTCCTATATGATTAATTTAGACCAATATTGGGGACAATCTGTGGTCTTACGGTGATTTTCTTATTTGTCCTCCAGTGTCTGATTCATTTATTTGGACTCTATTTTAAAATATTCTTTTTAACATGCTAGCATTATCTACCAGATTTTTTATGATCTGTTGGCTTCTAGTGAATAGAGACAGAAGAAAAAATCAGCAAAAATTAATCTCATCTCCATTATGAGGGATTAAAATAGTGAAATACAATTCAGCCCTTGAAATATTTACAGCCAAGTAGAGAAATTTAATGAAAATAGGGCAAGATAATACTATCACAGGGTGTCATATGAGAAGGCAGAACTAGAAAGATTCTGGACAGCATGGGGTGATGACTATTTATTTATTTTTAAAGATTTTATTTATTTATTTATTTGACAGAGAGAGAGAGCACAGCAGGGGGAGGCGCAGAGGGAGAGGGAGAAGCAGGCTCCCCGCTGAGCAAGGAACCTGATGTGGGACTCGATCCCAGGACCCTGGGATCATGACCTGAGCTGAAGGCAGACGCTTAATGGACTGAGCCACCCAGGTGCCCTGGATGATGATGATTTAGGGGAAACTAGGCACCATTCAATGAAGGAGAAATATTCAAAAAAGCAGAGGACTAAAAATTATCTTCTAATTCTACTTTGGACCTGCTTAACCTATCCTAGCTACAGCATATTCTAAGAGATAGCAGTGTGTACTTTAGATTGGATAGGTGATGAGGATGCAATCAGATTTCCTTCAGAAATTACCTCCAGTCTACAAATAGACCACACAGGGGTAGGAAGAGTGAATGGGAGTTCCCTTTAATTTATATGATTTAGGCTGCAGGGACACATTCAAGAAACTCCATGAGGGCTCTTGATATTTCCCTAACAGAAATGGAATTTTTGATGCCATTTTGGAAAGGATCCATGACTTGTCTGATCCTATTATTCCATGGGTTTCAAGCTCTGAACCAGTTGAAGGGCTCCTTAAGCCCCAGACTAATGTTCTGGGAAAAGTGCATTCCTTCAACAAATATGGAAGCTTCTATTGTTGCAAGATTCTGTGCAAGGGCTCTTGTGGGGGCCCAGAGAAAAATATGGCTCCATGCCTGGTACTCTAATGCCTATTTATAGTCACATGTGGATTACTTTTAATGGTATGGTCTGGGTCTGAACCAAACGCACTTACATGACTGAAGTAGATATTCTCCATTTATGCTGAAATATTCAAATATATTATACCAGAAAAAAATAAAGAAAAAAAAAACTTATTCAGCATCATGATGAGAACGTATATGGTGCGTAAAATGAATGAGAGTTGGTTTGAATCAAGTACCATCAACTACCAACTCCATTACACTGGGTAGTATAAGCCCCATTTTCTCATCTACAAAACAGGGATAACAGAATAACTTATTTATTAGTAGTTGTAAAGATTAAATAAGATGATGTGAGATGCTGTACACATTACCTGGCATACACAATAAGAAGGTACCTATAACAATGATAACCATTATTATTTTAGAAGGCAACATACCTAGTTGAAAAAAATGGACATGCAATCAGTCATATATGGATTAAAACCATGGGAGTAAAGTACCGGTTTTTGCCAACAAGAAACAAAAGTAATAAAATGGACTCTATGGGTTGTTGCAACGATTAAATTAAACAAGACTGACTAGGTCTTAGCAGGTACACAGCAAGAAAGAGCAAACTACTACTCACTTAGAAATCCCTTCACTTATTTTGCATAACTCTGTGGATCAGTATAAATGAATAGAGTTATTATTTGTTGGAGTCCACTTTCCTCACCTTCAAAGCTGGAAACATGGGACTTGATCTCTGAAATAACTTGTACCTCTAAATCGTTACAAATTCACCAGAGGTTTTTAGGAATCAGATGAATGAAATCATCCTGAGATAGCTGAAATATAACTTCCGGCTGCCAGTTTTGAGAAATTTTTGCATTACCGTAAGAGGTAAATTAAAAAATGACTTTGGAAAAATTATACTTCCTCTTCATCCCTGCTTAGTTGAAGCCTTTTCTTTGATTTCCTTGACACTGTTGCCTTTTAATGTTGTCCAGAGTTATTTTCCCACCTGCTTTCTCCAAAACGTAATAGCTCCTCAAAACGTTAATTCTATTTCTGTGTCACGAATGACTAATTTAGCCTGCTAGTTCAGAACTGCAATAAAACTTCTTTATCAAAATAAAACCTGTGAATTCATCACTGAAAAAAAAAATGATGTTGTGCTTTAAAACGTGATTGAGTTCCACAAAGGAATGAGATGATAATTTACTTTCTGTCACCTCCAAAGTCAACCGGGAAAACAAACAAATAAACAAACACGTTTTTCTGACAGGCAAACAGGCAAATCCCAGGCAACACTGCAGGGCAGGGGGATCCAAAGGAAAAAAAAAAAAAATCTTGAAAAAGCTGAGCTTCCAATCTCCTCCCACTAGTCCCTGCGAAGGATGACTTCAGTCCCTTTCTTAACTAATTCTGTCACTGTAAAATCCTACAGTCATTCTTCCACACATAAAGGACAACTAAGCTCAAGAGGAGGATCTGGATGCTTTCAGTTTCAACTATTCACCAATGGTGGGAAAGGCAGAATGCCTAAGCTGTGTCCCGGTGGCCAATAGGATGGCTGTGTGTCTCCCACATGACTCGCTGCCCCTGTCTTTCACATGGGCTGTAATTTGGTTCAATTCAGAACTGCAGATAGTACAGCTTTTACAGGAGCAAGGGATGCCCGGGCACAAGTGGCTGAGTTCCGAGTGACTTTAGGAAGCGCTTTCCTGCCTCCCTCCTTCGGGAAAACGGGGGATCCTGCACCTGTACCAGGGACAGTCTGGCAAAAGCCTGCTCTGCCTCCGGGGACAAGGAACGAGCACCAATAACCATTTTGAAATTGTAAGTATACATTTCTTTCCGTCAAGCGTACTGATGAAAATAGTTTTATGTCATAAGCATCAAAGATGTGAGGATTTTTAGGGCACTCTTTTGTATGTGTCCGGAAAGGTATTCGGCAGGCAGGGAGATGTTTCGGGAGGACAATTGTTGCATGCTTTGTTATGTTAAGGCTAAAGAATTAAAAATAAGAGTCAGGCATTCCAAAGAGTAGCTGCAGGAGGGCTGCACCCCGGAACCTTGCTCCTGTATGCTGCTTTGTTCCTAAGAAAAAATGAAGGCACACACATATGTACTTAGTTCACTTCTTCTCGTTCTTTATGTCTAATCAGATCTGATCTGTCCCCAAGAAAAATAAAAGGCAAACTTTGCTGACTCCACTGACAAGGATACCACAGACTTTCCAGACATCTGACAGTTATTATAATTAGCAATGAAAGACTGCTAAGACACTTGGGGGCAAATAGCTCTTAAATTCTGAACAATGGCTTCAAGCCAGAGCTTTCTTTTTATTTATTTTCTAACCACCACTTTTCATTTCATAGTAATGAGAGAGACCAAGCTGGTTTCGGTGTTTTCGTCCACAAAATGGGAAATAAAGTCCCGGCAGAAGTGAAAGGTGACTGGGTAAAGTGGTCAGTGTAAAGATAGAAGGAAAAGACAGCTTTCTGTGTCAGGATCCAGCCTTCCATGTATAAAGATTTTTTTTTTTTTTTTTTTTTGAAATTCCTAATAGGGTGGAGTGAGGATGTGGGGGTGGGGAGGAAGCATGCGGAAGCTTCTTTATAGAATGCTTGAAGAATAAAAGAATTTGGGATTTCTTCTTACTAGAAGGCAAAAGATGCACTTAGCATCTAACTTACATGCTTGGTAAGGTTTTTTGATGGAGTTTCAAACAGAAGTGACATACAAACCAGTTTTTTTTTTTATTATTTATAAAATAATTGGAAACAAATGGGGGAAGAATGATCCTGTATTATTGCTTTCTTTTTACATTGAGCTAGGGTAATCTAGCAATGCGTTATGCCTTTACTTCTAGAATCATCCAAATTCTTAAAAAGTTGTAAGCTAAGTCTCATAAGAAATTAAAAGGCACATCAAATCGATGTGATTGTGACTGATGAAGATTTTGAACGACAAAACCTCCAACAAAAAGAGAGTTTGTAAGAAAACATTGCCCTCCTTATTTTTAAAAGAGAGTATCAACTCCATCAATTATTGAAAGGAATTATTCAAAGGCTCCAGACATAACTAATTATGGCTTAAAGAGATCTGCCAGAGCAGAGCTTGTGTTCTAATTATAAAAGTCCAAGACGGTAGGATTCATTTTTTAAAGAGGACTTGGACACAAATTTTCACATAATCTTTTTAAAATACACCATTTTTTTTTTCTTTGTCTGCTCTCATGTTATCTACACCTCCCCCACCGCCGCCCACTGTGTGCTGAGACACCTGAAGGCTAGACATAATGATCAACAGAGCTCCAGCCTGTCTGGACTCCAGCCAGGTTTTTTTCCCCCCTCTACAATCAAGGAGCTTGCACGCAATGCATGCCGAGCCTATTCCACTGCTATGTGCAGATCCGGGATGGAAGTCTTACACATACTGCGGAAAGATTAAAGACAACAATATCCCCTTTCTTTTACCCCAGACAGCCTCAATTTTTAACCCTTTCATTACCTTTAAAACCAAGACGTCTTATCCGTTCCAATGCAGGTCTCAAGGGACCCTGCAACTCCTGCATCATATTATACAGATACACATGCCTCATTTGGTATAGAAATCTCGACAGACCCATCAGGGGTATATTTTAGGATTAACAGTGTGCTAACCAAACAAAACACAGTTTACTCGTGTGGGAAATGCATTTTTGAATGAACTTAAGCTGTATTAAATCTGGAAAAAGTCAAAGGTCTGTGGAAAGATTCTTGCAAACCTTGCAGAAGGTTATAGCATTTCTGATGATGCTGTTCTTTAACCGTCTTTCTCTCTCTCTCTCTCTCTCTCTCTCTCACACACACACACACACACACACTCAAGAGACACATTCAGCCAGGCAATTATATCATTATATCACAGAGGAACCCTGGTTTGCTGATGATGTCATCACATATAAAATTTCGCCTTTGTGGGCAACATTTTCAATCACCTAATCGCCAATGTCTGTTGGGTGTGTGCCCATAGGAAGTTCACATGTTTGTGGGGTTAACCAACACCCACAGGAAAGGACTATTTTATTCGTAGCTATCTCTTTCTTGAAGATGTGTTTATGGGGCAGTATGGGCATGTTTATCAAGGTATCTGTAGTCAGGCAGAGTTTTCTGGTTCTAGGAAGCCTTACTAATATGCTGGTTGAACATTTTAGAGGTGGCTGAATTTCAATGCTATGAACAGGGTGTAGAAATGGTGAACATTTTGCAATCACTTGGATAAAAATGCTACAATACTGATAGGTGTTATGACTTAGTGATTCTTATTTGTCATTTAAATTTTTGCAAACATTAAATCATTTCACTCTTAACTTATTGGTTAAAGAAAGAATATATACCAGTGATTTAAAAGTAATGCTCATTTCATGGGCTCTGGGTTAGAGGATAATTGGGTTAAAATTTTGTGGGCTGGTGCAGTGTTTGTATTTATTTTCAAGTTTATTTTATGGGTCTTACACTAAACAGTTATATACCAAACAAATTGTCTAGATTTTTAATAATGTGTGTATATAAGTGTACTATTTTATTTTACTTAACTCAAATAGAACAAAGTTTAATAATTTTATGGAAACATATTGCCATATCTGAGACATAAATATAGAACAACTGTGCATACATAATGTCTCTTAATTACTAAGTTTTGATATGTAATTTAAGTTAATCTTCATTAATATAGAACGGCCGGGTATACCTAACCAGTTCCTATATACCAAGTATTTGATACAGTATTTTTTTGAATTTTGGAATTTGCTCTGAATACTTCTTTCTTGCATACTTAGAAAAGGATTAATTTTGAAAGGATTTGCAAGACATGCGTATATGACCAGCATGATTTATACACCAACATACAAATTAATGAAATTAATTTTGCTGAGGTATTGTGTGATTTAAAACAAGAGAAAAAGTGTTTTGTTCTTTTTTGCTTTCATGTTACTTCTGTTGAGAAAAGTATATAGCTCAAAGAACAGACACATTTTGTACTTAGAAAAAACAAGCTACACAAGTTAGGTGACATTCTGTGGGGTAAGACTCCAGTGTGAACTAATAAATAACTTTTTTGAGAAATTTTTGGGCTTGACTCCATAATTTTTACATAAATAGTTCTTCCAGCCTATAGTGGAGTTCTTGCCTAAGGATGAATTATATAATTGTTTTGTCAAACATAAAAAATGAACAAGTAGTTGGATTTAAATTTCACCTACTTTCTAAAAACAGAACATGACATTGCCCACTGGGGATACAGGTTACTAAAAAGGCATCTTTCAAAGAAAAGAAGATAATGGACTTGATTGAAATAGTTGAACTACGTAACGCCAATTCAGAACAAATGGTTTTTCAGAGCATAAAGGAGAAAGAACAATTTACTATAGTACAGTTTATTCTTCTTACACAATAGTAATGATTTATTTGAAATGGCAGAACAAACATAGTAAATATACAAAAACAAAAAAACACAAGACAACTGATATCTTATGTCAGAGATATGTCAAGATTCTTGTTTCATATATTATAATATCCTTAATTCAATTATTTATCTGAAGACTTTAGTGAAAACCTACACTCTTCCTTAGCATATATGTTGATATTATAATCATGTGTTCTTGAATATGTGTATAGATTGGCTATATATAAAATATATTTGAACGTAGTTTTATGACCAAAAATAATTGTTGGTATTTTATTATAGCCAGAGGTTTTTTTTTTTTTTTTTAATGATCTTGAGTTAGAATATTAACATATTTTAATACAATGAAATTTAGCTGGGGAGGTCAACATAGCTAGGTCTATGCTAGCAGGGGGACGTACTCAGATAATGTCTAAATTAATGTATTGATGTAATTGCAAATGTCTCAAAACAAAACATATTTCAATCGTATCAAAAGATATGACTTTAATGTGGCAAACAGTATAAAATGTTATTTTTTAGAAAAACTTTGTTTTTTAACATTATGAAGATGATTTCTAAAAGTAGACTCATGCTCATAATTTCTCTTTATGAAAGAACAGATTGTGTTTTTTTAAGAAACTTGCCTTTAGGCTTGAGACCTGAAATTATTTTGAGTAGATGCCCGAGCACTGCACAGAGAATGCACAGGAACCTCAAGTCACAATGAGAAAAGAAAGAAAATTGGTTTGGTTGCCTCATGCCTCAGATTTTATTCTTTCTAGGCTACATGCAGACACCACTCAAAATTAATTTGAGTGAAAACTATCCAAGTTATTTTCACAATTTTCAAAAGACCCACGGTCCTGTTGATATCCCATTAAGGTGTAGTGTTCTAAGAGTGATTGAATGTTCCACTGCCTGAAACTCAGTCAAGCTCAGTGAGGCGCTGGGGTCAAATGGGCTCATGAATCACAGATAGGAAATGAACTGTGTATTGCATATTTAGAGGTTGAAAAAGAAACATTTGGGATATTTTACCGTAAACAGATTTGGGGTTGATTTCTTGGCACATCTTTTTAAACATCAGGCCTGCAGTTCAGCTGAAATAACTTTTTATATGTATAGCTAAGACCAGATGGCCACGTGCTCCTTTCTTATTTAGATGAGACTTTTCCTTTCAATAACATCTTTCTTCCTGACCTGCTTAAAAATTCCAGCGAATGAAATCAGCACAGGATTTTCAATTCTAATTGACCATGTGCAGAGGAAGGGCCAGTGGAGAAATCAGTGGAGGCATTGTAAGGCTCACTGCCTCAGTTTTGTCTTTGTGTTTTTCCCTTACTAGCCAATCTAAACTAATTGAAAACATTTAATTTTTATTAAAATTAATATAGCCGTGAGATTAA